TGGTTAAAATTGGTAGATGGTGAAAAATATGTAGTGTGTTTTTACAGTGGTATTGATAACCTTATAACATGAAGCAGTATAATTTCGTTTAACTATTCGATAAAGGGATAGGCAGAAGTAAGCGTAATAAACTAGTTAGTGAACTGAAATTCAGAAATTTTTTTTCTGATTAGGTAATCCGACTAAAGCAGTAACCGATAATGAGCAGCAACACATTTTTACATTTGTAATACCTTTTTTGTCAATAGTAACCAGACTAACATGCTACCTTGTATGTCTCGATTCTCGACCTAATAAACACCAGTCCGCAGTGCCCAAAGCCCCGGGGTGCTGCCGCGCGGCCTGCATATCTCACAGCAGGCTGAACAAACTTACACAATAACATTCGTATTATATCAGGAATTCTGCACCATCTAATATTTTGTTGATGGCTCTGTTTTTTCCTCTAAGACATGAAAGGAGGCCGTTGATGACATCAAATGGACAAGTTGACTTGTATGAATTTTTTTAGGCTCTCCATATTTTTGTTTGGCATTCAATTTTTATGCTTCCAAGACTTATGACCATCATGACTTATAACTTATGACCAGAAGGTAGAAATTACATTCACTTTTTTTAGAACAAAATGTAGTATATCAGTCTTTATAAAGTCATAAACTTTAGTAGGCATAATAAAGAGTTTATAGTTAATAGTGGTTGGAGTTTAGTGCTCAGTAAAGGTTACCTAAAGGGTGTTGGTAGACCTTGAGACGGTTTCCACGACCTGCTCTGACTTTTATAGGAACCATAATGAGAAAGGTCGTCAGACCTAGGGAATGAACCCATATGACATTATGGAATATTACGCTATACCGAAAAACTATGTCGAAAGAAAAGTAAAATGAAAGTAATTTATTTATTTTTAACGAAGTAATAGATAAATAGTGACTGGGATACGTTGAGGCTGTTTTTAGTTAAGTCGTGTAGTGTGCGCCCACTCTCACTGACAAGTACTGACGGGTTTATATAGGTACAGTTTATAACACACATGTGTTTGTGTGCACTCACTACACACTACACACGCGGCCAGATTCATTCAGCGATTGAATCAAAAATAGAACGAACCCCCAGTAATGGTGCTCTTTGTCTTTTCATTCAACAACCAACTAATTGAAGTTTCCTTTAAAAGAAGACTTAGACATCGGTCCAATAAATAACTCTACCGATACTCATGCTGCTATACAAACAAACAGTCTACTTATAAACTAATAACATTTACTTTGTAGTTAAGTTACACAATAGAAGAGTTCATCGTTTAGTTCACGGAAATGTTGAAAAAATATCGAATTATTCTGTGCAGGGAGGCCTGATAATGTAGCCGACGCGACGGATGTTTCGGTGTCAGAGGCTTTTATAAACCTCTCATCGGCTTCCTCCTTAGAGTAATATTAATTAATACTTACATCAAAATATTTTTTACCCTTTCTAAGGTTTTGCTACAAACAAGCACTTTTATAAATTTTCCACCAAAAAAGTCTTTTTGCTAAGGTTTTAGGTTGACCTTTTTTTTTTGTTTATTGGAAAGAAGTATTTACCGGGGAATCAAATTTTGTACTCTTAGGAAAAGGGAGTTCTGCATTTAACTTTAAGCCAGTGTAGAGGTCAAGTACGTAGTGTACGTACGGAGTACCGGTTAGTACCGGTTAGTACCGGCTGACCATAATAGCAAGTAACAGGTGCAAATTAGTTTCTATTGTTTAGGCAAATATTGACAGTGACGGCGGCTGGTTTACTGGTCACTTTATCATTCTCATTGGCTCGTCTGCGCCCACAATCTGTTCCTGAATTTACGGAATAATTTCACACGGACAAAAGCTCTTATAACTCAAACAATAGGGCCGAATTTCGTACACCAACATTGCATACTGTTTCCACTTGCTTGTTGTCGAAACAAAGTTTGCTTTGCGAGTGTTGTGCGCTTTAATATGGAGTAATAAGGTATGTTTTTGCTTGTTGTGTTCGTGTGTATCACATAGCATATCTATTCTGTTGCTTAATTAAGGGTACATCCATCACGGGCAGCCATTGATGGCTCATTGATTAAGTTTGTGTTCCATTTTTTGGTGGAGTCCTGAGATTGATTGGTTTTGTTAGTGACCATTGAAAAAAAGCCATTAATTAATGTTTATTTATCAGGAACTACCGCCGCGCATCGCATGCATACATATTTATGTATAATGGCTGAAACCGCGCGTTTCATTAATGCTATGTATTGAGTTTAAACGTTGTAGTCTTTATTATGGTTTATTTATACAACTGTGACGAGTAGGATTATATAGTAGGCATGTATTATATCATATTGTTATTTAATATACATACATGTAGCTGACTAACAATTGATGACCTGTATATATACCTCTGCTATCCTACTATTGTGTAAGCCACAATTGTGTCAGCTACCAGGAAAGTTGTCATAGTAACGCCACACAAAAAGCCTTTCCTCTATTATATAGACACTTATCCTTTTCAGGTCACGGATAATCTTTTTTCATCTTTTGCTGAAAATCTAAAACATACTTTGTTCTGTGGTTTCAAAATACTTGTTTCAATCAATTAAGTATCCTAATGCAATTATAATTTGCGCTAATTTCATTAGGGGTTAGGCTCATACCGAGTGTAGAATTGCGATATGAGATCTAAATAATTAGAGACCTCCATTAATAGGAGCTCCTTAATATAATTAAAACGCATATCAATCATGAAAATCACTGCGCAGCGCAGTTCCGGGGTAAACCCGGAATTGGCCCGGATGCGCAGTTCCATAAATGGGTCATGACTCAGACAAACACAGAAGGTTAACAGAAATATAATGGATTTACTTTATTTATGAAAGTTTGGGATTTTTTCTTTGACCGAAAGGTCCGTAGGTAGAATACAAAATATCATATCTTTGATTCAGTACTTCAGACATGGTTAATATTTTTTTAAATCCATCATATATGTTGAAAATTCGCCGTGAAATTGTATGTTTGTCAACTGTGAATATAATTTTAATAAAAAAGAAATGTAATCGAAATACTTACTATTTATTTTCCATTTTGCAAATGTAACCTCATATTCAACTCAATACATTTATTTGCGACGAATAGCAAACGACGTTATTTTACATGTAAAAGGTCGATCCAGAAAAGGATGACCAGTATTTTATGAGAGTCTGAAATTGAGAAATGACTATTCTAGAATATTGGCCACGTCTCGTCTCGAGCTCTTACAATTTGTACGTATTCGTGTGACGTCGGTATGAACCAGTACTCTAGTAATGAGTTTCATTTGACTGATATTGTCAAACGCCCATTACAAAGTTTCCAAACACGGGCTTTTCTCATATTATTTACAACTGGGTATATGAGTCATATCAGTTAAAACATATCCACTGATGTTTTTTTTTATGGGATAAGCCGGTAAACGAACAGACGGATCACCTGATGGTAAGCAATCGGCGTCGCCCATGGACACTTGGAACCCCAGAGGCGTTACAAGTGCGTTACCGGCTTTTTGGGATTAGGAATTTGAGGATTGTTTCACGTCGGTATTCTGTGAGGCCGTGGTATCACACCGGTCGAGCCGGCCCATTCATGCCGAAACATGGCTCTCCCATACGTTTAAAATCATGTTGCCTTGCCTTTCTTAATTTTTACATAAATTTGGTTTGTGGCCTAAAAATGTTTGTGGTTAGGTGATTTAAAGCTTGAAGGATGATGTAGCCTTTCTTTGGTTGCTGATTTTATTTGACACCCCGATTTAGTGTCGTCTTAGTATTAGACACTTACTAAAACCCATGTCAATTCGTGCTCTATGCTAGGACCGCAATATATGGCCATAGTTTCACACTGGCGTGATCTCACTTCGGTGTAATATGGCTTATGCGTATATACTAAAAATGCTACTACAACTCTATTCTGAGTGGACCTTCTGTATCTTTCTTCTGTGCTATAACTGTGCGGTTAGTGCAACATCAATCAAGTATTTAGGCGGTGTGGAGCTAAGCGGAATGATTTCCTCGTTGACATCCGCGCCAGCCTCGGCGCTTCCAATGCATAACGATGCTTCTGCTTAGTCTACGACTAGTTTGCTATGTTTATAGTTCAGTGAGTTTGAATGCCACGCGGGTCATTTGGTCAGCTTGGATTAGGACATCATCATAATGAATTAAAGAACATAATATAATTTATTGTCATTGTATCGCACCATAAAAGCTTATGTATTATTTGTGTGAGTGATTTTTCATAAAATGATAGGCATCTTGGCTCTATTCTCGTAATGGTATAATGAGAATGTGTATATTTCATTTTATCTTATTATTGAATTCTTAAATAGCAATGATCTCTAAGTTTCGATCATACTTTGACTGTAGTTTCAACTTTAGAGTGAGAATAATGATGTCTTTAATTATAGAATCTCTTGAACAACCACAAAATCTACAGAGCTGAGACAAATCATAATTTAAACTTTGACAATCGACAGTGGACTAACCCTCGAAAATCCTAGGCATTGAAGACACTAACAAACTCTGATACTAAGTTTACTCGCCTTACAATGGGAGAGATCATGTTTTCATACGATTTTATTGTTGTTGAGACTCCAGAAATAAAAACGAGGTTTAACGAAGGCATATCTTCCGAGCATAGTTTAATTAATGCAGAGGACAATGGGACCGCCGTCTTTGTCTCCGCACAAATAATCTTAGCTCGACAATGAACACAGATTTTATTTGGCCGTAAACTTTACGGATGCTGGATGGATTTATGATGATGTTACACGTGTTGCTATGGTGATGGCGGGTGAATAACACGTTCATTGAGATTGTAAGCTATACGATTTATCCGAAACTCTATAGATTTCGGATAGATATATTTTATGGAACGATTTCGGGAAATATTTGATGAGTACGCGTAAAACAATGCGGGGTTGTTTATGTTGTTTCTTTATAAATCAATGCCTATAAAATATTTATGATAATTATGTTTGTGTGTTATGACCGATTAAGTACAGATTTGCCTATAACCAGTAAGATATCTTTCTGCCATGTGGCGATATGGCAGAATAGAATACATATTTGTCCTGGTCTTCTCGAGTAGGTCTTGTCGCGCAGAGCAGACAACAGCGTTCTTGTAAAGACCTGAATCCCTTAATTGAGCATCTGCCCAGCGTATAGGTTGTGAAAAACCCCTTTAATATAAAGGAGGTCAATGGTCCATAACTGGACTGTTATAGGCCGGTGATAATAACTACAATAATCACAATTTTCTTTTTCCCCAGGTGCATGCGACGTCGCGGGCGGGGCGGGGTCAGTGAACGCTCTGCCGGCGGGCAGCGCTGGCGCACGTTTGGCACCGTCTTTCGACGCAGCCACACCACGCAACGTCACCGCTCTCGTCGGAAAATCTGCCTACCTCAGCTGCCGGGTTCGAAACCTGGGCAACAGAACGGTAAGTACATATCAATTAAGATAATATCTGAAATATAATTAAATGATAAATGATCCTGTAAAAAGCCGCAAATTACTATTCTACACATTAGTATTACGAAAAATAATAAGTTTCGTATTTTCAAACTGGTTACTCTGGAAAGAAACACCGAAAAACATTTTTCTACTTTTTGATTAAAATATGTATTAGAATTGGATTTTTATCGTTCCTTTACAGCCAGTCTCAATTGAAGCTCAATGAAGTACCTATCTGCCGGATGAAATAGAATATTGACACATTTTGTTTGCAACTCATGTCTAAATTCTATCTCTACTATACCGAAATTTAGATTTATTGAGACTGGCCTTTGGTGACCTACGAATTTATATAAAAGACTAGATAAATGTGTGGAACTCAATTCCTTCAAATAAAATGGTACTATAGAACATGATAGGCGATTCACATAGACACTTGTATCCTACATCACTGGCCACATAAGTGAATATTTCTTATTTTTTTATTGAACTTTCTGAGAAATACGTGGGAGGCTGACATGTCAGTCGAAATTTGATCGTCCTTTATCGTAATTCATCTGTATTACAATATAAATTTTGATTATTATTAACTTAATAGTATTCATATACTTACATATTAAAAAAATATTTATTCTAAGTTAAGGACCTAAGCATATTTAAATCGTTTCAGTTGTCATTCCATTGTCTCTGCCTACCTCGATGGAAGACAAACGTGATGATATTTTGTTAGGTATATTTAAATTCAGATAATTTTTACGAAACAGTTAATTACTAAGAATAGACAATAGCTATTTAAAGTTGTATTTGAACCAATAAATACTAATAACTATGTTTACGAACTCAAATTATAAGTCAATAACACAGAAATTATATTATTTTTCCGTCACAAATGGGGTAGATGACTAATTTTTATTTGAATGTCCGTCTGGTAGATTATTTAAAAATATTAGACACGTATTTTTTATTTTCTTACGGAAACGAATAGTTTCGGCAATATATTGATTTGAAATATCGCATGACGTCACTTTCGAGTACAATTTATACTCTAAAATGACGTAGCTACCTCCCACTCCTAAACCTTGATTCGTTTTATCTAAGTATAGTTTTCTTATAAGATAAAAAAAAATACGGGTCTAAAATATTTTCATTATCTAACTGAGGAACTAATTAGATTTTTAATTTTTATACTATGTCATCATCCCTGTTCAGTAGGAACAGGAATGACAACATTTTTGAACCGATTTTCAAGAGATACATTATTGTATAAGCCTCCCTTTTATTGTTCCAAAACAAATAAATATTAAACAAACAATCGGGCCTTAGTCGGTATTTATTTAATGGAATGTAACAAATACCTTATATATCGAGACTTTTCCACTGTCTGTTCACCTTATAACAATGTGTACTCAATGTCCTTATTCGAGCGACGTAGACACAGATATAAATATAGAGACATCATACAGATCATTCGTTACTTACACGACAGTTTAACGATTATATGCTCACTCAGTATGCAACAGAGTTCATTTTTTTCGAATACAACTTTTAACCAACTAAATTAACTGTAAATCGCGGGTTACTTACGTGAATAATATACCTAGAAAAGCTCTACTAGTTTTGAACCAACGACCACAGTCGCGGCGATGTCGCGCAGCCTATTTATGCTCATGAGGAAGAACCCCTCTCTGGGTCGAAACTAGTAGAGCTTTTCTCAGTATATTCACGTGAGTAACTCGCGATTTTAGGTTAATTTAGTATGTCTCATGATCGTTATTATAAAAACAATACTAACTACTTTATTTATTTTGTACCTAAATTACCATTTAGTCCGAAAACGCTACTAAGTATCCATTCCAAGTGGAAATCGGACTCAAAAAACACCGGCAGCAACATAACTGATTACCAAACTACACAACCATGCAGTGTAAATAATTACATGTTGGTCTAATAACTATCGTGAGATATACTGAATTAACACGTTAAACGCCATGGGGGCCACCGGTGACCGGCGTTAGCGGAGGATTTACCTTCAACAGTTTTTTATTGGCAGTCAAAGTCTTAACTACAAAATCACGAGGTACCCACGTAAATATACCGAGAAAAGCGCTACTAGTTTCGAGTCTTAGAGGGAGTCGAAGAAGATTGGTAGGCTGCGCGACATCCCCCCGACCGCGCACGCTGCTCATGAGGAAGATAGTCTCTCTGTGACTTCCTTTCTGTCTAATTAAGTTATTACATTCTAGAGATGGAATGCCGTACCGAGAATGACCGAGATATTTCAAAAGCAGTTACTAAAACAGTAACGATCAAATATGTCAATAACTGGACTGTGACAATCGTACACTTGGTACGGTTTCAACCCTTTGCCCTTCCGCCCTTTAATATTGGCAAAGTCAGTGCTTCGTAGTTTGTACCCAATATTGCGAGTCAATATCCTAAGATCGCATCGCCAGTTACTCGGCCACTTGGTCAAAGGATCTCTGCAGCCATTTTGATAGATACAAATAGTTTATTTATTGCCTTGAACAGAATATTACAATTGCTGTTGAATTGCATCTCTAAGTAACGATACTTACAATACTTTTGCTTAGAAATTTTTATATTTTGTTGAATAAAATGACAATGAAGACTTGATTTTTGCCTTATTGGCCGAATAGTCGCAAGTGTGACTGCCGCGCAAAGGGTCTCAGGTTTGATTCCCGGGTCGGGCAAAGTATTACCGGTTTTTTTAAAAATCTCGGCAGTAGCACGGAGTATGGAAATGTGTCCGGTATATGGCAATAAGCTTACTACATGGGACTCATAACATAAATAGTGGAACGTGGAATTACATTGTACAGTGGCATTTAGTGCCGTAATGTGCACCCCTGCCTACCCCTTCGGGGATAAGTATGCGATTTTACGAAAACGTTATTATTATGTTGTTCATATCTACATTTATTTATTTGAGAACAGTATCTTTATTAGTAGACTAATATGATAAAGCATAATATTTTCAAAAAATAGAAGCAACTATCAGAATTTTCCGGGAATCTCTTTGTGTTATTATACGCTTACAAGGCTTTAGATTTTATTTTAGTTTGTTTGTTTAAATGGGAAATGTTGTTAAATTTAAAAGTTTTATACGTACCTTTACAGGGTTGCAGGTTAACTTCAATTACATAACATAACATCACGCCTTTTATCCTCGAAGCACAATTCCAGTCTTTCTGCTACTACTAAGAATTTTTGAAAAACCCATTAATACTTTGCCCGACCTGGAAATCGAGCCCGAGACACCTTGCCCGGCAGTCGCACTTGCGACCACTCGGCCAATGAGGCAGTCTTAAATTCTATATCAGATTATTGTTGCCATTATTTGTAAATGCACTATAGTTGCAATTCCTTTATAAGTTTGAAACTTCTCCCGTAATTTCCGTTAGCTTTGCTCTATTGTAAACTGACACATGCATGTAAAAGCTGAGTAGTCTCATGCAAACTTGTGTAGTTCTTTCTTCAAAATATCAGTGCTTTATTTTATTTTTCTTTGTTTGGACTTTATAAGTGTTATGTTGGTGGATTAATAAATTGTAGACGGATTTATTATTATTATACTTGGATTTATTACAATAATGTGCAGGGCGCACGACGGGTACACACACTTAGACTATGACAGGTAGACAGCAGTTCCCGTTCTTGATTTTCGGTAAAAAGTAAAAAAAAAAGAATTGGGTAAAAAGTATCCTATGTCCGTCTCCTGGTTCTAAGCTACATCCCCACCAATTTTCATCTAAGTCGATTAAGCCATTCTTGAGTTATAAATAGTGTAACTAACACGACTTTCTTTTATATATATAGATTATAGATTATAGTGAGGGGGCCACTACTTATTAATTAGTGATGATACAGACTAGACATACATGTAACAAAAAGAAACTGTGTAATCCTGAATCTTACACTTTGAACTACCCATAATACACTATTGAGTGTTTCTCTATGTCGAACTGTCTTCACAGTATCTATCACAATGACGTGTGAGGTGGTGTGACAAACGCGGCGCGCTCGACTCGCGACTGCGACTAATTGCTCGCGATAATTGCGAGACCGCCGCCTTCCGGACGCTCAGCGCGTGCCTCCCCTTGCATCCGTTCCCGACGGGTGTGCAGGAAAGAAAGGATGTGTTGCTGCTGCAAAGAGCTGAGGATATATTTTCAGGATTTTTATTTTCAAAAAGTTCAAAAGGTCTGCCATAATGTATTCGGTATTCTATGAAGTGATTAGATAGTGAAATAAACGAACATAGGTATACAACATGACATTATGAGAAAATATTTAAGTTTTTGGATTGATAGGTTAAAAAAAATAAATGAGTTTATTGACAAAAAGCTTCATGTTACATATTTGTACGGCTCTGGACCCCACACTAAGATTCACTGTGTCGTGAGGCCCAGTCTCTTTCAGTCAGCAAAACATTATAATACAAAAGAAAAGAAAAAAAAAGAAATTAATTGAAAATAATAAAACGGTTTTACCTGGTAAATGATCAGACGACAGATCACCTGATGGTAAGCAATCGGCGCCGCGACACCCGAAACACCAGAGGCGTTACGAGTGCGTCACCGGCCGTTGGAACATTAAGAATTTGAGTATTGATGTTGAGATTGGGGAGATTGCGTAGGGTTGGTTGGTTAATTGGGCCTCCGGTAACCTCACTCACACGACAAAACACAACGCAAGTGTTATTTCATGTTGGTTTTCTGTGAGGTCGTGGTACCGTGCCGGAGATGGCTTTCTCACTCTTAAATACAAAAATCTATCATTGTATCTTCTGAATGAATAAAGAGTCTTAAAAATACTGTTTTTTCTCTAAACAAAATGGTGAAGAAAACTGTTTAACTACATTTGAATGATATATTAAACTAGCACGCGGCATGAAAACATTGGACAATATTCAAATAGTAATTTGTTTGTAATTTATTTTATTACTTTAATTCAATATTATTATAG